AACTTCTGAAATGCAAGGACTACATGCAAGATTTTGAAGATCCTTAAATCTCCGACATCAAAGATCAAATTACCAAGAAGGCAACAAAGGGGAGATGGCAATGAGTTCTTCACGAAGACTTTCTAAGAAGACAAAAGAAGCTGATATCCTTTGAAGATCAAGACAAAGATAACCCGCGCTTCATTGCAAATTGAACACAAAGGGGGAGATTGTTAGAATATATTTTATTGTGTTCAATTTAATTAGATTTATCTTTGTTTAATTAGGATTTAATTAGTGGGCCTTTGTAATTAATTAGGGGCCATTTAATTAGATTAGTCCGGCCCATCCTACTTTAACTAGGATGTTTGGCCATCCCTCTATAAATAGAAGGGGAATGGACCGAACAGACTGAGGGTTTCGCCGCAATTATAATAGTCATATCATTCTCGAAGCTCTCTCTCTAGAATACTAAGTCTCTACACATTTTGTTTCCGCATATTATTCTCAGTAGAGCCAGTAGAATAGAAATTCTCTCTCTAGCTTATTCGTTCGAGTACTGTGTAATTGTTCTTCATGGATTCATCATTTTTAATACACGGTATACGTTATTGGTGAATTTCTCTTCTACTGTTTTAATTCTTCCAATTATTCTTAGATTATTCGACTGATGAAATCTGGGCTACGTTCACACATGACATTCCCCCGGCTCAGCAATCAAAACAGTCCAAAATGTCAAATGCATCACCCAAAAAGTCCAAAAATCATCCATAATATGTCCAGGATCACACGTAAGGAAGTAGCAGCAGCTTGCATCCAAAACAGGGTTCCAAATCCAGCCCACACGTCCAGGGTTGAGACCCCTATCCAGGATCATGTAAGTATTTCAAATCTGTCAATTGAAACCATATAATGAAAACGTTGTAAGTACACTTGATTAGAAAACACTTGATTAGAAAAGAGTCTGCAACGACTATGTGGAGGTTACAGATCTTGTATGTTGAGCTGGATCTCTGGTGCGCACGGGTACAAGGTCTATCACCATTTGACTGATCGAGTGATCGTGACTTACAACCTCCCAAATGCTTTGTCGGGTCAGGGCGTGGGGCCTTGGGGTTGGGGATTAATGATGTGTGAATAATGACAATTGTGTACCGTAGTAAACAGAACACCCTTTTGGTCATCCACGACAAAAACAGTAAACGAACTTATATGAAACTTTTTAAACCGATTATATTGTCATATACATTAAAAACCGGTTATATTGTCATATGCATACGATTATTAAAAGTAAACGAACTTATATGAAACTTTTTAAACGTTTAAATTATGGTTATAAATAGTAGCTAGAATGACATTGTAAATTAAGTCGAAAAACTAATTCTACTTAAACTTTTTAAACTTTTCTCCAAACCAAGGATCAACATTTGAGTTCAAATATCAATATGGTAACTGAGGTTTAATTTTCTAAATTTGAACAATTGGTAATAGGTGATCATGTGGAACCAAGCATTCCAGCCCAGCTGGTTGCGAAGTTACCGTGCTTAGTGGGAGGTCTCGAGTTCGAAACCCGCTAGTCACATAAGGGTTTGAAACTTAATGGAGTGAGTTTCAACCCTGACTACTCCAGCAGTCCAGCCCCAGACCTCGTGGAGTAAAAAAAAGTGATCGTCTGGATGTTTCATTACCGTGCATGTGTTATTTGTTGCAGTAAGGTTACACATATGGGAATACGTTCTTCGTGCTCTATAAGCTCTAAACTTTTCTTAATGTTCACACATATGGCTCACAAATCGGTCACAATTCACAAAGTGGGGTCTTGGTTATGGTATTCTAATATCGAATTAAATAAGCAAGGAAGTTTCTCAGCTGCTAGCTAAGAAGTAATCAAACTTGTATCAGAATTTAAAATACATGCATGTCTTATACCAAAAGGTCCAAAAATAACTCCAAGATACGTATCTTGTTCGAACTTGAAAAGGTAAGAAACTTGGTGTCTTGGTGCGTGCTACAAATTTTATGAAAACAAAACCAAATAGGAGATAAAATTTTGAATGAATTCAAAACTTTTTGCAAAAATAAATATCAAATGGAAACATGTAATCAAAAACAACAGATTCAATAACAGGTTATTAATAACCACATTATTTCAAGATTCAATATAATACTAGAGGTGGACTCGGTTCGGGCCACCCGGTCTGTGACCCGGTTCGGGCCTGCTAATGTTTTAATTAAGGTTATAATCTTAAATATTTTTCCATATCTCTTCTCCAACTCTTCCTAAATCCTACTCTTAACTCTCTACTCTCTAATTATCTTCATCTTCTCAAATTCTCTTATTCTCCAATATATTATATTTATATATCTACTTTATATTAATTATCTACTTATAAATACATACATTATATTACTTATATTTCTTATCTAATTATATATTACTTATACATTTATTATATCTATTAATATAGTTGGAATTATATCTAATTAATTCGAAGTCATTCTATTACTCCCATCCGAAAGATCGAAACAGGTACGAAATCATTCTATTATTTACACTTGTTTAATTTTGTATTAACGTTACTTGATTAGTTAATTAGTTTTCACACGAATTGTTTAATTTTTCATTAAAGTAGTTAATTACTTTATTACAATTTTTTATTAATTGCTACCTTTGACTCTAGTTTAAAAAACTAGTTAATTCTCAATAAACTAGTTAAACTATAATAATTTGATTGTTAGTAAAAAAAAATAGGTAGTACAAAAAACTAGTTTAAAAACTAGTTAAATAGTTAATTTTTCATTAAACTAGTTAAACTATAATAATTTGATTATTAGTTAAAAAAATAGGTAGTACAAAAAACTAGTTTAAAAACTAGTTAAATAGTTAATTTTTCATTAAACTAGTTAAACTATAATAATTTGATTGTTGGTTAAAAAAATAGGTAGTACAAAAACTAGTTTAAAAACTAGTTAAATATTTAATTTTTCATTAAACTAGTTAAACTATAATAATTTGATTGTTAGTTAAAAAAAATTGTACATTATATTGATAATGATTGACATATGCATAAACGTGTTCTTGCCTTTCGTGAATTTAATGATCGTCACACGGCTGAACATATTTATATTTTGATTGAGCGTATTTTAATTGAGTATAATTTAATTGATAAGGTGTTTGCTATTGGTTTTGATAATGCTACTAATAATACTGCTGCTATTCCTAGATTGCGTGAATTGTGTGGTTCTACTTCTTTGATGAGTAGATTTTTTCATCAACGATGTGCATGTCATGTTATAAATTTATGTGTGCAAGATGGTCTAAAAGCGTTGGGAGCATCTTTGGAGGTAGTCAAGGGGGGATTAGACGTATTTGGGTAATGGACAACTTAGAAAAAAATGGCATGATTATTTGATAGAAAGAGGTGAGAAATATGTGACTTTTCCTGAAGATTTGTTTATCCGTTAGAATAGTACTTATAAGTTAATTGCAGTTCTTCTTAGATATAAACAACATTTTCCTATTTTTATGAAACAATATGATAACTATATTATAAACTCGGCTGAGATCGACACATGTGAAAAAATTTGTAATGCTTTGATATATTTTAATAATGCAACTGAAACTTTTAGTCATGTTTATAAACCTACCTCAAACCAATTTATTCGTGAAGCTGTTAATCTCACCGATGCTTTTTCAAATTTTGAGAATGCTGATTATGTGAGTTATTTTGCTAGTTTTATGAAGGAAAAGTTTTTAAAATATTATTCTCATATTCCGCATATTTATGGTATTACATTTGTTCTCGATCCTCGTTTTAGACTTGGTTCTTTAGAAGAATGTTTGAATTATTATTATGCTGCTTTTTTGGTCCAATGCCAATGTATGAGGACAACCCAATTGATCCGAAAAAGAATACAATGAGGTTATTGCTATATTTTATGCATTGTTTAATGAGTTTCATGCACAATATGGCAATGCGCTTCCTCCCCCGACACAAACATCTTCATCTAAAGGAAAATCAATTTTGAAATCTACATTTGCCAATCTTATTAAAAAACGAAATCAACTCTCACTACTCAACAAAGCACAATTAATGAGATTTCTTTGTATTTAACATATGATGTTGATTTTGAAGATGATGATGATTTTGACATTCTAAACAGGTGGAAGTGAAAAGAAAGAATGTTTCCGGTTTTAGCAAAGATGACTAAGCAAGTGCTATCAATGCCGGTTTCAATAGATGTCGTGGAACAAGAATTTAGTTCGGCCGGCAATGTTCTAACGCAATGTAGAACGAGGTTGAGCGCAGAATCTCTTGAGATTCTGCTATATGCTACCACGATTAGTTGAAGCCGACCCGTAAAGCTCAAGAAATTGACATCACTAAATCCCAACACTTTATGGATGAATCTACAACCGATGGTGGCTCTACCTATTACGGAGATTCCGATTGATTAGTATTTCATGTTTTAATTTTATCTTCAATTCTCAATTGTAACTTGTAAACTTGTAGACTTGTAGTTCATATTTACAATTTACAAAATGTATTTCATATTGTATTTTTTTCTTAATTGTCAAATGTAGTTCCTATTTCATTTCAAATAAATGCACTTGAAGTTTGTTTTTAATACTTGTATAAAACTATAAAGTATAAATTATTAAACAAAATGGATTTAACCAGCCTGGCCCGGGCCGGCGGTTGGCCCAGCCCGTGACCCGGGCGGGTGGCCCGGCCCGAACCGGAACCGTCCAGTTCTCGGGCCGGTCCCAAGCCCATCATTTACAAACCGGCGGCCCGGCCGGGCCTAGGCCCAGCCCGGGCCCGACCCGGCCCGAATCCATCCCTATTCAATACCCAGTTTACTCTGAATACATGAATGACGAGAACGTTAGAGTCTACATTTCTTTTTTCTTCTTTCATTGAAACATATAAAAGAATAAGCCCTCTCCTGCTTCATGCAGCAGTTAAGCAACATTCCCCAGAAGAGATGCTTAAAAAGATAAAGAACACAGAGAAAAATTCCAGCAAAAAACCAAACACATTAAGATGCTTCAGGCTTCAGCTACCTAGGGATTAAATGAAATTGCAGAACTCTGGGACTAGTGGAAGCCAAAATAAAATAAAGCATGTAAATCATCCATACAGATAAGTGAATCATCGGATTTACATGTGTAAATTATCCGATGTGTAAATGATCTCAGACTTTACACATGTGTTACTTCCCTGAAGATGCTTCTTTCTTATGACAGACTCACATAATGTCTTGAGTGCTTTCATCTTTTCCTCAAACTTCGAAGCTTCACCTAGTAGGTAATTCCACTCTAACCATTGTTCCGTCTTCTCAACTGCATCCTTCAAACTTATCATGTTTTTCACGTTAACACCCTTTCGACAGCTTCTCAAAGCATCCCTCACATGGTGAATATAATTCTCTAAAATATTTTTAGCTTTTGACGCCTTCTTGCGCTCCTCATCTTGAGCCTTGTACACTTCTGCCTCTTTTACCATCCGATCAATCTCCTCCTTTGACGACCTCCCGTTGTGATTGGTAATAGTAATTTGGTTCTTGTTCTTACTTCCCACTAGTTCTGCAGACACAGTCAAGATGCCATTGGCATCAATTTCGAAATGGACATCATACTTAGCTACACCTTTGGGTGCTGGGGTGATGCCATTAAGGAAAATTTCACCTAGGAAGTGGTTGTCTTTTGCGAATGGCCTCTCTCCCTCATACACAATGAAACAACACCTTGTTACATAGTCAAAAGCATTTTGGTAATTTTTCTTTGTCATCTTTATAGGGATGGGGGTATTCCTTGGAACCACAATAGACATATCACCACCATTAGTTTCAATACCAAGAGATAAAGGAGCAACATCCACCAGCACGACATCCTTATTCAGACCGAAGGCAGCACCTGTCAAGGATGCAGCATGAAAAGCTGCTCCGTAAGCAACAGCCTCATCTGGATTTATGCTTTTGCAGAGCTTCTTTCCATTGAAGAGTTCTTGTAACAATTCCTCAACCTTTGGTATTCGGGTAGACCCACCCACAAGAACAATATCATGAATGTCATTCTTCGTCATTTTGGCATCCTTCAAACACTTCTCAACAGGGTCAGTACAATCTTTGAACAGATCCAAATTCATTTTTTCAAATCGCGCACGGGTGATGGTTGAAGAGAAATCGATGCCCTCAAAGAGGCCTTCTATGTCAATAGACGTTTCATATAGAATAAATATATTTTTCATTCCTGTAATATTATATATATATATATATATATATATATATATATATATATATTGAATTTAAGGTTTTAAACAAAGGTTTTATAAATTATTGTTCTAGTGTAATATGTGTGTACACACACATTTATACATTTATATACATTTATGTTTATACATTTATACATACACTTGTATATATTCCTCTCTTTTGGATGTTGATGGTAGCATTCGTAGGTTTTCCCAGGTTTTATTTGAAAATAGGATACCTGATCACAAAAACTGTACAATTATAAGCATCAAATTAACAAAGATATATTATAAGGCTCATACATACATATTCAACATTTCTTTACTTATCGGTAGCTTGTCATTTCATCATTGTCATTTTTAATGAATGTTAGCCTCAGCCCTTGGATGTAAACAACAATATAGACATGGAATATCTTCATCTTTTAAAAGACTTGTAACAGGGAAATGACATACCTCTAATGGTTTTTTTCAAATCTTCCCAACTTCAGAATCTGCAGGAACCTCAATGGCCCCTTCAACCCTCTCTCTCAGTGCATAGGCCTTGGTGTGTGATTCCATTGAAATTCAGTTGTATTTATACCGCAATCAGCAGTGGCCCTCATTGCTGTTATAACCCTTTTATAACCCTTTGAAATCCTGTGATTGTTTACATATTTATAGCCCTTTGAAATCTAGCAACCATTGTTTTATAACCAATGAATTTTAGGATGCTATGGTATGCATTAAATGCCATCTTTTGCCGCACAACATTTTTTATGTACTCTCATTGCTAAAGATATTAAAGTACACCCCATTTAATGCTTTTCAAATGCAATTTGAATTTTAAATATGAAAGTACACTCCATTTAATGCCGTGTACACGGCCGTTTTTTAGGGGGGTCAATAGGTTATCCAGAACAGGACCCCCAAATTTACGTGGCCCCAAAATTTCAAAATTTTATTAGTATTATATAATACTCCGTAATATTATAATACATATATTAATATTGATCAGTAAAACACAGTTAGTGAGAAAGAAAAATACAGATTCACCATTTTTTTCGTTGGTCGTTTTAGTTTTCTTTACTCAAATTGCTTGAATAATGAGTTGTGTTGCTTTAAATCAAATATTAATTCAATTTTAGAAATTTTTTATTACATTATTTAATGAGTATTCAATTAATTTAAGTATATGTATTTGGATTGAAATTTTTTTGATACTTTTTTATATTAATGTGGGACCTCGATTTTACATTTGAAACCGGGGCCTCCGAATTCATTAGACGGCCCTGGCCATGTAGGAAGCTCTGAGATTTGCATTTATTGATTTCATAAGATCAAACCTGCTTCAATATACTCGGCCCACATCACAGCTTGCCCGCATTTAATGCTCTTATGGAGCAGTGAGCTTAACACTTTATTGAGCCACGGAAATGTCATACCAGCCAACTACGAAGATCCATATTTAATGCATCTTACTTTTTTGCTCAGCCAACTACGAAGATCCATATTCAATGCAACTGACCCGAATTTGACCCAGTTCTTTGGGCGGGAAAATGACCCTTTTTTCTCTTGCTTTTGTGTAGAGAAAGATTATTGATGACTCATCAACTTATGTTCTCCCTCCGTTCCTATTATAACTTTCAGCTTTCCTTTTTTGTCCGTTCCAATTAAAACTTTCACTTTCCCTTTTTGGTAGAGAATTTGTGGTTTACAACATTTCTTACACATTTCTCTCTCCTCTGCACAACTCTCCACCACATAATACTCACTATCTTAAATTGCGTGCCAAACCTATTTGGAAATTATAATAGGAACAGAGGTAGTAACATCTTTATCTCCAGGGACGGATCTAGGTATAGTGATGGGGCCTGGGCCCTCAACTTTTTTATTTTTACTAGTAATAGTATTAGATATGAAATAATCAGAAAAATTAGGTCAAAACTACCTTATAGAAGCCTCTATTTTAGATCCTTTCGGGTAGATTTTTTGATGAAATTTTGTAATCATGTTTTTCATGAAGTGTAGATTATGTACACCAAATTTCAGCTTAAATTTAATTGAGAAGTCAATTAAATAAATTATGGAAAATCATTGTGCTTTTTATATACATTTTGGCGCAGTGTTTTTCAATAATTTATTTAACTGACTTCCCAATTGAGTATTAAACTAAAATTTGGTGTAAACAATCTACACGTCATGAAAAACATTCTCAAAACAATTCATCAAAAAATCAAGCCAGAATCACCTCAAACATAGGTGGTCGGATGATGGACGCTGTTGGATAGTTTTAACCGGATCATTCCTCATGAAACAATTTTATATACTATCGGTATATGATTAAAAATATGAAAAATATGTTTTATTGCTCAAATAGTTCTTACTTAGTCTTATTAAAAATAATTTAATCAAAGTTTGCTAAAATAGTAATTATCTCCTGTTCGCATGCATTCTCAGCGTTTGTTTAAGTGCTTAATATAATGGAATATTATTAATTGAAACATATCATATAGATACGTGCTTGCATCTTTTTTTTTAACTCCAAGGGGGTCTGGGGATGGAGAAATCAGGGCTGAAACTCACTCCATTGAGTTTCAAACCCTTTATGTGCCTAGCAGGCTTCGAACTCGAGACCTCTCACTAGGCACGGTAACCTCGCAACCAGCTGAGCTCGAATGCTTGGTTAGATACGTGTTTGCGTCTATTTCTATGTTTTTGTAAATCTCTAATGTGTGTTTTTGGATTGAACTACGTTCTATTTAGGGGCGGCCTTAAGGGTGGACAGGAGGAGGGGTCACAGACCCAAAATAATGCAAAAAGTTCAGGCCAGATTTATGATATGTGAGTAGGTTGAATTTTTAACCCTAAATTAATAGTTTTGTCCAGTCTAGTTAACCGGTCAAAGTTGTCAGATAATTACGAGGCTTAACCATAATGATAGCCCTCAAACTATAAACTACTCTATTACGCCCCCTCAAGCTGTGCAGGGAAAACGATGCACAGATTGTCATGAAGTAGAGTAAACCATTGTGGAGATAAACACTTGGTAAAAATATTTTCCAGTTGAGCCTAAGTAGGAACATACTTCACACGAAGATCACCATGAATCATCTGTTCACGAACAAAGTGATAATCAATATTAATATGCTTACTTCTGGCATAATGAATAGGATTAACTGATAGATATGAGGCAGAAATATTGTCACAAAATAGCGTAGTGGGTACACGAACAGGGAATCCCAACTCAAACAAAACTGAGTGACCGTGAAGAGTGTCCTGAATAGTAAACGCCATGGCTCTATATTCAGCTTCAGTGGAGGAAAATTGCATAATCGAATGTAGAATGAACTGTATCAGGGCAGACAGCCCAATCAGCATTCGAATAAGCAATGACCGCTGGAGACTCACGAGAAGCCTGTAGAAGAAGCCCATGGGTGGACAGTTGATATATCGTGGGAGCAGCCCATGGTGAGCATGGTGCTCCCACAGCTAATTCACGCGTGAACAGTAACCTTATTTTTGTTCCCAGTAATTGAGTGATGTAACTTGTATGTAATGAAATGTAACTCACGTTATTATGCAATGTAACCGCATGCAAGTTGTGATGTAACTTTTCTAATACGGAGAAGAAGAAATAAAACATTGATTTCAATGTAAACAATGAAATAAAGTAGTCTAATTGCTCAATTACTTTACATAAGTAGCGTATATGTTTTGTTTTTAATATTAAGATCATAAAAATATTTTTTTAATATTTTTTTTGCTAAAAAATCAATTTTTTTTTTTTGCAAAACAAATGAATTTTTTGTTCCAATAGTTGGGGTTTATTTTGGTATGTAACTACTGTAATGGAAAATGTATCTCATGTTGATGAGAAAATCTAACTTAGGTGTATGCGAAATGTAACTTTTTGAGGCAAGTCTAAATGTAACTCGCGCACAAGAAGATGTAACTCACACATAAAATTGTGTAACTCGTCCATAAGAAACTTCATATACTATCAAATGTAAACAATGAAAACGAGCCTAATTGCTCAATTACTTTACGTAAATAGTGAATATGTTTTGTTTTTAATATTTAAGGCCATAAAAATTGTTTCTTGGAAAATATGTTTTGTGCAAAAAGCTTTTTTTTGGGGATTTTTTTGCCAAAAGGAATCAGTTTTTATGCAAAAAATGGTTTTTTGTTTCAATAGCAGATGTTTATTTTGTGATGTAACTCGTATTATGAAAATTGTAACTCGCATTGATTGAAAATCTAACTTAGGTGCATACAAAATGTAACTTGTTGAGGCAAGTCTAAATCTAACTCGCGCGTATAAAGATGTAACTTACTCATAAAAAAATGTAACTCACGTACAAGAAGATGTAACTTCATATACTATAAAATGTAAGTCCAGAAATTGTCAATAAACATAACTCACACATGTAGAAATATAAATCACATATGAAAATGTAATCTCATACTTTATCAAATGTAAATGAAAATAACCAAATTTATGTCTAAAAAACACTAAAACATATTTCGTATAAGAGAGATAATAAATATATTATACGAAAAAAATGTGAATACGAAAAAATATATTATAAATAAGTGTATAAATATAAAAAATATTTATTTTGAAAAAAATAGATAATTTTTTGTTGTAATTTTAGTTGAATAAAAAGAAAAGAAAAGGAAAAGTGTATCAATAAGGAATAAGAGAGAAAGAAAAAGTAATCAATTTATTTGAAAGGATGAAAATTTGATCACAAAATTGCAATATGTTCCGGTGCTCTTAAATTAAAAAAAATGTAGTTGGAAACATGATAGGTTTTGATGAAAAAAATTTAAAAGAAAAAAATGAAAAAAAAGAAACGTGAGTGGGGGTGTGTGAGTGGAGAGAGCATGCAACCATCTAGCAAGTGATCTTGTATTATACATTTTTTATACGGAGTAAAAAACGGTACCGTATTTGGGATGGGTATACCATGCGCATGGTATACCGATCCCACGGTATAATTTGCCATGGGTGGATGTGCCCTAAAGATACCTGAAAATACGCTTCACAGCCAACACATGTTTGTAGAATATGGAGAATGAATAATTTGTATTCACACTTATCATGGGAGATATACATGAGTATATATAGGAGTACAACAAAGAGATAGAGTCTTATGTAACTAACTATTGGATAATATCACATTAATTAATTACATTATAATTATTATTTATGATTTATCTCTAATAATGTGAAGTACGGGTGATAAGCGTTTTATTAACGTATTTTTATACAACAATTTATAAACGCTTTTATAATTAAAAAAATAAAACTCTCACACATATGCCTCGTTTTGCTAGAAATACTATAAAAGACAATTGGACCAAATACGAGGATGAAAAGACACACGAAAGATTTTGACAAGAGAAGGTCAACCAAACGCATCCCGAGGAACAAAAGAAGGAAAGGAAAATACACCAAAGGGGTGAAAGCCGCTCGGCTTTCACCTAAGCCGTCCGGTTTTCACTCGCAAACCAACCAATTGCCGTCCGAAGATGAAGAAAAGGCTCCGGATCCAAAGAAGACGAAAGCCGCCCGACTTTCGTGAAAGGCGCCTGACTTTGGGCGCCGTAGAATTATTTCAATA